ATAAATATAACTTTATATATAAAAATGTAATTTTTAAAGTTATTTTTATTATTTAAAAATATAAAATGTATACGTCTTTATGAAATTTTATTTATTATATTATAACAAAATTATAGAATAAAACGAAGCTATTCTAGTCCTTGAATGCGTATGAAGCACAGTTTTTTATAGAAAAAATCTGTCAAGTATCAAGATAGGTTGAATAATTAACAAGTTAATTTCATAATTGTGATATTTTCGAAATGTTTTTCTATCTCTCCGGTAGACTTTTATCAGAATTGTCGACTGTCGAGGAATATAAATTAAGTGTGTAAAGTGTGTGTTCAGTTCTACAAGTGCAGAGCAGTGATTAAGCAGATAAGTTTCTTTAGTAACAATGGTGTTCACAATGCCCGTGGCCTGGTTAAAGTTTGCAAACGTCACCAGAGTGCGCTGGCGTGCGACTGTGGCCAACACTCACGAACAAGTCAAATGGCGAACGTTCGGCTGACGGTGTGGCAAGCAAGCAGGAGATACCGGGGAATTTTTTACTACCTTTGGCCATTTACATCATCAAATATGGAACTGTGGAGACTTTTATGGATATTATGTGCCTTTTGGGTCTCTGGTGAGTTCATTTACCCTTTGCTTCGTTAAATACAATTGATATATAACTTGTTAGACTAAACTCTGTATAGAGCGTTAGCATCGGCAGTTTGGTATGACGGTTAGATACAAGGTCATAAAATATGACTTTAATTTAATAATATATTACGATTGTTATTCCACGATTTCTGATCTATTACATGCTATTATCATTTATATAATGTGTTGATAAAATTTATGTAAGAAGCGATTCGTTTTAATATATTAAAAATGTTTATAAAAAGTTGGTAGCACGTTTTGTATGAGCTTTTCTTCTTCTGGAACGATGCTCCTGCACTGAAACTAGCTTTGATTGTGATTAAGAGTTCATCGACTGAGTGAAGAAATTTTGAAGGGGGAGACAAAATATCAAACCACTTGTTTCGCTTCTCCTCCAAGTGGTTGGTTGATAGGACAGGGTTATTTGCCTAACGGGCAGTAGTGGGGTGAGTCTCACTTAAGTCTTTTAGCTCTGTAGCTTCTGTAGGCTATTCTATAGCGGAATATATATTTGCACTTATTGTTGATTTTCTTGTAGAAAATATTATTTTTGAATTTCCGTAACGGTTAGTTTATTTTTAAAAAATGTTAACTGTATCGCAGCTGATTGTCAGCGCTGAGTTTAAAGTCCAATTTTTTTTTTGTTTTTGTATTTAAGATCGCGTGAGATATTGAGAGGACTTTTTTCCCTTACAAAACTGCAAACTTCTTTTAAAGACAAAATTCTATCTACGATAAACGCCATTAAAAATTCTCAGGTGTTTATTAATATTTGGGAATATTAATTCAAAGTTTGTTTGGAAGAAATCACTTCTACCATTGGTATGTTTTGCATTCGATCAACAAGAATGGACGATCACCTTGATTATTTTATGAATCAGCGTGTTCTGTTAGCTCTAACTCTCTGCTATCGACCCAGGTAGGCTGTAGTGGTTGATGCTGGTTAAAATTTCACTGCCGCTCACGATGTTAGCAGGTTTGTTTCGGGTAAAAAATCGCACGAGAGATGATCTGTCATTTCTAAAAGCAAAGCTGTAATATTTTAAAGAATAGAAAGAGGAGAATGGATAAAAAAATACACCAGCTTCTGTCAGCTAGAAAGAAATCTATTCGATACAAAATAAAATATAAGTAAGTTCAGTATAGTATTTAAATAAAATTCTAAATTATTTATTGACCTAACTAATGGCTTATGGATCTTCGGGAGTTTTAAATAAAAATAAAATAATTTATAAATTATTCTGGAAGATTTAAAAAGTATTTTATATAGCCATCAATCTACTATTTCCACTTAAGATTTAATTTAAATTGGAGATTTGATTAAAAGTTTCAATTCATACAACAGATTTGTGGCTTGTATTGTTCCTTTGGAGTAGCCAGGATTATCATCACATCTGTTGACCTGTTATACCATTTTCTTCTGTCAGAATCAATCGAATAAGCTTTATAGTAAATTTTTATGCTATTATTAAATTGAATTCATTATCTTAACATATTTATTTTGTGATATTTCGATTTAAATTACATCACATTCGAACTGTGAGCTATAAAAAAGTGAACTTCAACCGTTCGAAAGTTTAATTATCTTTAATAGATTTACATAAATTTGTCTGAATATTTATTATAGTAATATCTTAAAGTTAATGCATAAATAATACTTAATTTAATGTGTTTTAATATTTTATTAAATAAAAATTTGATAATTATTTTTGCTTATGCAAATTTAATCATAAAAATATTCGAATTACATGAATTATTATTATGTTCATAATAAACAACTCTGACGTGAACTATTAAGAAACATTATTCTTAAATAAATTAATTGAAAAATTTATTACTTTTAAAAATTTCAACAGCTTAAAATGTTACTGTACGATTAACGGTTCGAAATGCCTTCAGATCTAACCATAGACTCCACATTCTTCCAACATCATAAATCATATTCTCGATCGTAAATTTTCCAACTAAAGTAATAGTGGTTCGAGTTTATATTAAGGACATAACATATATATATATATTTATTTATAAATGTATATGGAATGATTACTTTCATGATACTTTTTAAATAATGAATTATGAGTCACGGCTATAAAATTGGATGTTTAGAGATGGCATAGCCTATCTAAAAATATATATACATAAAAAAAAATAAGATGGTAATGTTTCAGTTCATTTATGAATATATTATTGCGAAACTTGTAGAATACAGAGTTAGATGTAGCAGAAAGTCTAGTACTTTAATTCTTGAGAATTGTGCCAGAACTCATGATCCTTGGTAAATGGCCCCTAACACGATTTTCAAGCAACATGAGACCTATTGCCATAAATTTATAAGAAATAGTAGATGTTTCTGTTGAAAGAAATGTACTTCAAATGTAAACTGAAACTTTTAAAAATATCAAAATTTGGAATTATTCATATATATATATATATAACTTATATAAACTTTCATCTTTATATCAAAACTGTACAAAAATTTTTGCATAAAATTTGCTTCTATTGTAGCTGTGATAGTAGGAAGATTAGAGGATATTATGGATGTGAAATCAGTAAATAATTTTAACTTAAATAATTCTACTAAATAAAATTAAATAGACTTCGCAAAGCAGAAATTTAATAGCGGAAATAATAGGATAAATCATTGAGAACCTCTTTAAATAGGATTATAATTGCTAACGTTATCTGAAGGAACAAAGTGAATTAAAATATCTAAGTCAGAAATGTTTAATTTGCAGCAAATCTTTTGTTTAGTGAAGATAATATAAATATTTAATAACGTATTATATTTATATAAATTTATGAAAAATTTTTAGAATTATAATCAAAAAGAAATGTTGTGTATCTCTCTCTCTAATACTTTAAAATAGAGCATAGACAATTCAATATATACCAAAATTTATTTAAAAATGTATATATGTTTTACTTTTATAAAGTATTTTTTCAAGAAATTTTGGATATATTTCGTTATTTTAACCCAGTTTTTTTAATAAAAATATTTGTTATAAAATAGGCCAACAAAAATTTTAAATATTAACTAAACGAGTTGCTTTTTTTTTGAAGTCATTTCTTTTGACATCTTATATAGGGGCTTTGCTACAACTTAAACTGCTGTGCATCAATTTGATTGCAATTTCTTTCCACTTCAATCTATGTTGTTCCAGTATATAAAGAACAGGAATTTTTCATTTCCTGCTCTTCAGTTCAATCGTTTTTTTTATTTTTTTTTATTCTAAAGGTCATAAAACGAACGTCAATAACCCTGAAGATAAAATATATCAATGAATAAATTATAGGCGTGGTAGAAACTAAATTCATTGATAAACATTAAACACTATAAGTTATTTTTCAGTAATATGTATTGAAAGATGCAAGAAGTTTATTGCGAAAGTGGAAAAACGTTGGAAAAATTTGATACGTTGACATTGTTATTAGTCAACGAGTGATGTTGTTTAGAAGATATACTGTATAACTGAATTTGATTTCTGTAAGGAATAGGAGAGGATATAAAAGTTATAAACGATGAAAAATAATAAAGTTTATAACTTCATCTAACAAAATTTAAGTTGATTCATTAAATAAAATACATTTACTTTCTGGATTGTTAAAACTAATTTTAAAAATGGAGAAATTTATCTGAAAGTTTCGAAAACAAGATAATTAAATGTCAAGAATTAAATTCGAAAAATCCGATTTGCCAATAATTGTAAATAATGTGGCAAACAGAAATATTACTAAAATTACAATTTATAGTTATTGCGTGGTTTTTGAATAAATGAATTTTTCTTTTTATATTTTGTCTTTTGGGAAAAGAGGAAAGAAGAAAAGAAATAATCATTTTTCTTTCAGGCTTTCGCATGATTTAAATTTTTAAAGGAAGAAGTTAACGGTTTTTGTTTGTAATCTTATGCGCTTTTTGTTTTCTTAATCAAAGAAATCACTGAACTTAATTCCTTAGCTTTTGCTTCTATAAAATATGCAAAAAAAAAAGAAAAGAAAATAAGGTTTTAATCAGATGAAATTCTAAATAAAATAGACGATGTTATAACTAAACATTAACTAGTATCGTGACATATTTATTTACATAAAATTTTTATCCTTTTTTCGTTTAAACATTAAATAAATGAGATTAAACGAAATTATTTTATTTATTATTATTTATATTTTTTTTTATTATAACTTTAGTAAATATATTTCGGAGTTTTATACAGTTTAACAATATCTTTTAATTTTATATTTTAACTATTACTTGTTATTGAATAAAAATATTTAAAAGGCATATTTTAATAAGGGAACGTGTTTAACTGTTGATTGAAATTTAGGTAGTGTCGCATTTTCTTCAGATAATTTACATATTAATTTAATAAGGTTATAAATATTTAAAAAAGCTCGTAATATGTGTAAAATATAGAAAGAATGTTCTCGTCGATGGTTAATGATAGACGATAAATATTCGAATGATTAACAGCATTATGCATCATTTAATATCATTTTAACATAATTTGAGACTGGTTTTTAAAATTTCGAAGGTAAATTGCGTTATAAATGGATTTATAGTTAGCTTTTTTTTGTAGTAATAGGCTTACAAGTATTCCAGGTAAACGTTTCTCTGTAAAGTTTATTATCAGAAAGAGATGAAGTTATATTTCGATTCAATTGTGTGGATGCCAGGAATTTTTTTTATTGAGAGTTGTTCCCAATATTCGAGATTATTTGCAGCTATCGAGGGGAAAAAAGCCTACTAAATCCCCAATAGAAAATTATCAATTTAACAAATAAGAAAAACTCTCGATTGAAAAAAGAATGTATAATTTAAAAAAAAATCGATCTTATCTTCCATTAGTATAACATGATTTAATTATTCTTACAAAGAAATCTTTAGCAGTTTTTCTGCTGATATGACAAATATTTCTGTCGTACAATCAATCTTTCTAAAACCTGTACAAAAGTTTTCTATAGAATATAATTAATGAGAGCAAAATGGTA